ATTTTTTTTTATTATTATTTTTAAATTTAACAAAAGCTACAATCATGATTTTTTACTACTTCATATTTCGATTAGACTCTTATGTAAAATACAGAATCAGACGGCAATTGATGAATACGCAAAGTCTCTATTAAAACTCTTCGCAGTAAATTTTGGGCTTTATTATGAAAAAACAGTATATTGCTCATAATGTTCACGGCCTACTGCATATTTGCGAAGATGTAAAAATGTTTCAGCCGTTAGATAATTACAGTGCATTTAAATTTGAAAAGCTATATATCTTCTATTAAAAAAATTGATTAGAAAATCTTCCGCTCCATTACAGCAAATAGCAAGACGAACTCATGAACTGTTTAATCATATTGTAGCCATGAATAATGATTCAATCAACATAACCGACTTAAGTTCAGAATTTCAAAATTTACACACATCTGGTCCGCTACTTAAAGGTTATTAAATGCTTAATTTTATTATTGAATTTCTGAATACAAATTAACTGAAGTCAGAACTGAATTTGTAGAATAATTAAATTATGAATATATCGAGAATTCAGTTTTGTGCTATTGAATGGTTTTAAAATGATCGAAAGATTTTTAATACTTTAAAGCAAAATTTTCTCTTATAATATTTGTATTAATAATTCATTTCAAGTCTCTTGCTCAGTTTTAGATATATTTACAAATTATTAAATAAATTGAAAGTCAAATTAGAAAATAAATTGTATAAATATTCTTAACATTTCTTATTTTTCCATAGTAACCACAGATGGAGGACCTGAGACTGTCTGTAAAAATAAGCAAGTTTCAGGTTATCACAACACCTTCACACACTTTCACTGGAATATAAAGAAGATTTCTGGGGATATACTGGGATGTAACATTAAGCAGTTGGAGTATGTATTAAGAGGTTAAAGGGATATTGTAACTAGTATTTCAAATCCTGATAACATCCCATCCGCTGTCGGTGGGACCTAGATAGGATGTCCTAAGGATATACTGGGATGTGACATTAAGCACTAGGGAGGATGAGTTTAGGAGGAAACTGGGTTTATACGGGATGTCCTGAGGATGTAGTAAGTAGGACTTTAAATCCTAATAACATCCCATACGCTGTCGATGGGACATAGATAGGATGATTTTAGGATATAATGGAATGTGTTTAGGAGGTTAGTGGGATATCCCGGGATGTCCTGAGGATGTAGTATGCAGGAGTTCATATCCTAATAACATCCCGCACGCTGTGAATGGGCTTAGTTAGGATGTCCTGAGGATATCCCGGGATGTGACATTAAGCACTCGGGAGGAGGTGTTTAGGAGGTTCGCGGGATATTCCGGGATGTCCTGAGGATGTGCGCATATCCCGCGAGCAACATCCTCGGGATATCCCAAGGATGTTTTTGTGCTATGTGGGTTCAGTGTAATCGTAAATCAGCCACTGTCTTTAAGCCTCTGGTTGATCATCCCGCGATTTCTACAAGCAACTCAAATGTAGCAAAATTTGCTCATCCCACGATTTCCGCGGGCATATGTTTTCCTTCCTTTACTGAGGAGCGCATCCCGATTTTTCCCCGTTTAACCATTGAAAATAAATTATATACAGTATTAGGTGTTTAGTTTACGTTTTGGTCAACAGATATCGTTAGTTGTTCACTAAATTGCGGCATTTGAAGACACGTGGTATTTAGCGCTCAAACTTCACTTTTTGCCGCTTTTTTCTTACAGAAATGGCTGCTAAAAACATTCAGCGATTATCTTGATTATTTCATTAAATTATTGAATTATTGACTAGATTAATAATTAGATTGATTATTAATTAGATTTATTGAATCTGGTGCAAAAACTGTGAAGTTTGAACTCTATCATACTAAACTGCATTTCTAAGGTATTTTTCCCTCGGCGCTTTATATTTTCTTAAATTTTATACATTTTACTTTTTTATATTATGCAATAAATAGAAATTAACTGTAATTCGACTGAAATTTATTTAAAAAAAGATTTTTTTTTTTTTTTTTTTTTGTGATAACATCTGAATTTGGTTTTTCTGGCAACTTAGTTTCTCATGATAAAAATCTATATAAAAAATATTTCCTAGAAAGAAAAAGTGCATTTTTCAATTCTCCTAATATGTATAGATTTAAAAAATGAAAAAAAAAAAAAAAAAAAATACGCAATTTTGGAAGCGATTTCGGTTTACAAATTGAGCAGTCAAATGGTTAATGAACATGAGCACCTCAGTATAGTGAGCGCATAGGGATCATATATGGTCTTTATAATCTTGAAAAATTATATATGAACCCTCTAATTAAAAATTACGAAAATCTGCAAGTTTCTTTAACGCAACTGGCAATCGAACATAGAATATGGAGCCTTAAATTTGGTATTAATAATGAAAAGAATGTAACCGTAGGGTTGTGTATCTTAGTTTCCCACCTTCGGCAAAAATATTTTAAGAAATTGCTTCCAGTGTTAGTGAGTACTATTTACAAGATATTTATCCTAAAGTATGAGTCACCCTACGAATTGGTTTTTCAATTCCGTTATCATTAGCTGAAGCGAAAAGGACTTTTTCTAAACTGAAATAGATGCCACTTGTTTGAGGACATGTTAAGTAAGAAAATAATTCCCTTGCGTATTTATCTAGAGAAATGATGTGAGTCAAGAATTACAACTTGGTCATCGAAAAGAAAGCCTTACAAAAGGCACAGAGATTTATAACAGGTTGCATGTAAATATTAAACATGCTATGTAATTAGTTATTTAAATAATATCATTTTGAATATCTGTGGGTTTAATCTATACGGTACCCTGTGCAAAAATAAATAAATAAATAAAGCGGGGTGAACAGATTTATATCTCCCGTTCTACTGGCCCGATTGACGAAATTCAGTTTGCGTTTTTCATGTCTCGAAAATGCAACTTGGGATATATATTAGATATATGGAGAAATTTAAAAATTTATCTTGGCGAATTTTGTTCAGTTTGCTCCAAGAATAATTCACTTGGCGAGCTTCTTAATTTACCGCAACCCATTTTCCTTTCCTTTTTTTCATTGTGCAGGAGCGGAAAAAGATCCTTTGATACTTTCAAATAATTTTAACAAAGTGCGTAAACCATATTTGGCGTTATTATCACTTATAACAAATATGCCAAATTCCAAAACGCGTCAATATGTAAATTCACGTATATTTGAATTTTCAACTCTAATGTTTTGCAGGTACACTTAGAAATACATCTACATTAAAATGGTGGTAAAAACTTTATAGGTTATAATTTAAAATTTTTTTGGAAAAATTTATAAAAATTATTTAAAAATACAAATTTTAAAAGTAAATCATAAAAAATGGGCAATTATTATTTAAAATGAACCTAAATTTCGAAACGTGAGAGGACGACTCAAATAAGTTTAATATTAAAGGAGATATTAATAAAGATATATCAAATTCAATTATCACTGTGGAGCTAAAATTTTGAGAGCTAATTTTTTAAGAACTACTCTTGCGAGTTTTACAAAACTTGGCAGTTTGGTATAATTTGAGTAGTAGAGTCGAAAAATGGAAAAAAAAAAATTGGCATGTCATTTCAGAAAAAGTCCGATTTTGTGTCAAAGTACCTATATTAGAACAATTACTGAATGATCTAAAATTCACTGAGTTCGAAAACAAGTTTTTCCAATACTTGCGCAATAGCTTCAAAGTAAGATAATAATAAATTATTTACTAAGAAATATTGTTTATATTATCTCCTAATATAAATTTAGTAGAATGTATCAAAAAAGAGCGAACCCATATGTACGAAGTAAATTGTGCTTTAAAGTAACCTGAATGTAAATCATGAAAAGAAAAAAAAAAAAAAAAAAAAGTTTTAGGGAACTTGAATTTAAAGCGTGAATACAAAATTTCAAACTTTGAAAAAGATATAAAAAATTTTAAAAAACAAGTAATTATTGCTATTGATGGGAAATTAGTTGATTTTTCAAGGGGAACAAACCAACTGCGGTTCAATGAACAATAATTAATAATGCGAAGGTGTTTCGTCTTTTACTCAAGAATGATGATGCCAAACTGGCAAATTAATTTAGGCCAAAATTGTAGTTCCGTGAAGTAAAGGGGATTTAAAACCAAAGTAGAGTACTAAAGAACTCATTCTGAATGAAGCATTTTCGTTAATACAAGATTCTTCAGAAATTTTGAGTGAAAAGCCAATTTATGTTTTAAAATTTACAAAATACTTGAGTAAATGTCCCCCGACACCTTCGTTTTTATGCATGTTAATATAAGACTATTTTTATACAAATAAATATAATAAACAGCAGTAATCTTAATTGGAATTATGAAATGGAACTCAAAGTAAGTGAAATAAGTATGAGAAAAATAAGAACAAACAATGCTATCTTGCAAAAACAAATCAAATAAAAAGTTGAAAATTGAAATATTATATAATGTGAAAGTAAAATGTGAAATGTACATGAAGATATAAAGGCCAGAAAATGCATTAATTAACTTACGTTACGTATTAGGAGATAATATAATCAATATTTCTTTAGTAAATATATTAGAACAATGCTATATATAAATCTAATACATATCCTATGTCACGCTTTCGATACATGAGAAACAGAATTTGAATTCCCTCAATCCTCTCAATAGAGCGAGAAATATAGAACTGTTCTCCCTCCCCCGCAGTGTACATTGTATATGGTGCTAAAAGTGCTGGAGCCGGAGCATAAGGCATCAAAATTGAATGTAGGATATTAATTCATGTTTAACGTTTAACATCCCCATTACTTTCAAGAATTAATTTAAATTTACGATTTCCTTTCTTAAAGCAATGTAATAGCATTTATACATATCACTTTCAATTTCAAGGCCTCAATATATTGTTAATAATATGTTGGACAGCCTTAAGAATCACTGAATGGTACTGATGATAACAAGATGCATATATAAATTTCTTTTAAAGTAATCTCACTAAATCTTCATCAAACAAGCAATTTACACTTACAGTACGACAGCAACAGCTGACAGAAAATTTCCATTGCAGTGCCCATTTCTAATTGTTTTATCTGCAGCGTCTCCTGATTATGAACACTTTCGACAGTTCTTCTTTATTACTAATACTCTATTTACAGTATTGTCTAAGGCTTCTGGGTGAATTCTAGCAACGTGAAAATAATTCTTGCTGAGTGATACTGAGCATTGATAACATGCAAAAGGATGCTGATAGATTATTTTGTTGCTGTGCACCATATGCCACATATGTGCTTATCCAATCACTGAGAATTGCTATTATTCACATTTCAGGTCTGAGGGTGATGAAACAAATGTGACAAAATGAGAACAGATTCCAGTGCCTTTTATTCTATGTTCAATTGATCTATGTGTGTCATAAGGGACAAAAAAGCTGACGTTTAACAGATATAGCACATGGCCGAGTAGGCACATAAAAACTTTCTGAATTTATACCTCATAATGAAACACACGTCGAATTTAATATATGGACAACATATATCTATATCTTTCTTTGATTAAGTCTGTTGTGTTGAACAAAGGTATTACACAATCGCTAAAGCATTGAGTTTGATAGGAATTTTTTGTGTATCTATATGTCTACGGTTCATGAAACATATGTGGAGGAAATCAAATGGTGACATAGCTTTCATCCTTGTGTGAGAGGAGTCACTTGGTACTAAGAAAACCAATCAGATTATTCGTTTATAAAGATATAGAGGTTTTGAGCTAAACAAAGCTCTACTCATGTCACGAAACTTTAATTAATTATATACTTACGCTTTACAGAATTAATTTAGTGAGCTTTTTTTAATGAATTGCTGCTATTATAAAGAAACAGATACTTTTTTAACCACAGATACTTCTGAAAAGATGAAAAAAGGGTGGAAGATTTGCCAACTTAATTTCTTTCCTAATTTTTATGGAGAACACTCCGGGGACGCATTCGAATGTCTGCCACCAAACCGCTGGGCAGGATTTTCGGCTCGCCAGTATTTTAAATGTTCCATCCGCACAGATATTATATACTTACAAACATCCAAGCCTTCTCTAGGATTCGAGCCTGTGGCAGGAGCGGTAGCACTTTTACTCATCAGAGTGACTGAAACTAGAATTTGTGGAATGGCTTAAGTCTTAAATTGATGGTTTTGCGATTTCCACCTTGCACTTTCAAAATTTTCTTTTTGGCTTCCTTTCGGAGATTATTGTGAGTATTGATAAAAAATCTGACTATACTTCGGCACTTAGCAACACTGTAATCTTCGTAAAATTTTCAGATTTCGCTTTAGTTCTAAACATGAGTTTGCACTGATGCTTCAATGAAATGTTCAATATTCACTTACTGAACTGAATGTTCACTTACTGAACATTACTAACTTATGTAAGCAATTTGTTGGATTTTGAATCGATAATTAACAGAAATTCTGAGAGATTCTAATCTCTCAATTTGGCTATTGGCGTGAGGCAATCCAAGATTAACTTGAATATGCTAGCTATTGTATTTTTAGACAATAATCTTGAAAATAGTTAAAAGTAAATGCTGACGCTTTGTCCGAAATTATACGCGAGATTTGCCCAATCATGATTTGATGAACATGAGGAACTCACGAAGTCAAACATCTACATTGGCTCGCCCAGTCTCCCAACCTCAAAATGATGGAATCGTTGTGGCCTGTTTTAGAGTCTTCAACCAGTACCTCCTCCTTCCTGTATATCGGAGGTACTGGTTCAACCCGGAATCGGTATTCCCCATGGCACCTCTCCCGGAACTTTCACAGTATCCACAAAGAATGATACAATTTCCTCTACACACTATTCAGCAATTGTATGATTCGACTCGTATTGTTGTATGATTCGACAAACGAATCTAAACTGTATTACATGCAGTTCAATCATTCAATAGATTGTTCTCGTTTTAAAAAAAGAATTTTAACATACATGTATTGAAGAAAATTCAAAACCATTATAGCTACTCAGCGGTAAAATCGCTGAACTCTTGTAGGTAGTCGAGGGTTCAAATCCCGGATAACCGAGCTGCCTCTACGGGAGATTACGGGTTTTCCTTTTGTGTAAAGTGGGTACGAGCCAGTTTTCGTTAGAAAATCCCTCAAGAAAGCATCCCTTCCCTTAGGTAAATAGCCGTTATGTGTTATGTGCTTTTTCATACAAAATAATGCCATCCGAAACAATTTGAAAATGCTGCAGAAGGAAACCGCTTCTTTATAAAATTTTTTGTGTTCTATATGAAGAAACTTTAATAAAATTTTAAAAAGTATTGTGTAACTACTACAAATTTTTGTCTGTTAGGTGCTTCTTATTATATCACGATAAATGCTATCCCTCGTTCCCAAAAATCAAATTTTAAATAAATTTTTCAAAAAAAGATTTTCATTATTATGACAAATTTCAGTACAATAAAGTAAATTAATATTAAAATAAATATTTTTAAGGAGCAAATTTTGCACAAATTTAATGATTACGTTCCAAATTATCAATGGAGGCTTTTAGAAGTCATTAAAGCACCTTGAAACTGAGCTTAACAAGAGGGAATTACTACAACTTCAGAAGTAACAACAAAATGCGATTTTGAAGAAATGTCTTCAGAAGAAGAGGAAGAAAAAATTATCCTTTTTCTCTGATTCGCAAGTTTTGTGCAAAATAGAGTGAAATATAAAGTTTTCACGTAACGTATTACTCTGATAAAACATTAATAAGCTATACCTTTAGTATTTTCAAGAAATGATACTTCTATTGAAAGAAGCAATTACATATTTCAAGAGAAATATTTTAAAACATTGGTATTGACAAATCACACAGTCAACTTTTGAGAGAAGCACAGCAGAGTGACGCTTAGAGACAAAGAAAAGGTTTGGTTTCGTTTATGTGATTACGTGTCTCAAGGGCTATCTGCGTAAGGGGAGGGATACCTTCGTGGAGGGCTTTCTAAGGAATCTGGCTCGTATACACGTTACACATGGGAAAAAGCCTGAAAACGCCCCTGCAGCCAGCCCTTTCGCGAGATTCTAATCTCGGACGAAATTAAATGTCGAGTTCAGCGACTTTACCGCTCGGCCGCTGGAGTGCAGACAAAGAAAAGGGGATGCCCCTCTAAAGACAATTATCTGATATATGTTTACGGAAATGAATTTCGCCTCCAGACAATAACAGCTTCCTCATTATTTATCACCTATGTGGACCATTCTCCTCATGTTTGTACCTTGCCCTTAAACTAATTTTTCGTCTATTTTATCTTAAATACAGTTTCTGTCTTTCTTGTTTTACAAATATTGATTTCCTTTGGCTTGAGGGTTATGAATTTATGTACAAAGGGCTATTGTAAAAGGATCCAGGAGCAAATTATTCAATTTTACATTAATTTCTAGAGCGAAAACTAATTCGATTGACGAACAGCCTTCAGAAACAAATTAAATTCGTAGACCGAGGTTTCACTGTATTCCCTTTTATTTAAGATATTTTAGTCTTTGGAACATAAAATAAAAGAGCAAATATAATATCAAGGACATCGAAATAAATTTACGAAATTTAATGGTTATAAAGTAGTTATAATCATAAGAAGAATATAACACATTTTAAAGTTCAATAAAGATATAGAGTTTTGTGTTATATTTTTCGCATATTTTGACATTTCAAAGATACCTGACTCCTAATCATCACCTGCGAGTGCGGTGAATTAGTGGTCGAGTGGATAAGGTCACTGAACACTGTGGGATCGTTCCGGACTCAATCAAAAATGCGCTCAATGATCTTGACAGACCCACCAACAGCCGAGTGGTAAAAGCCGCTGAACACTGGTCCGAAATTCGAGTCCCTGCGAACAGGTTGGTTGCATGGGCGTTTTCGTCATTTTTTGCTATGTGTAACGTGGATACACGCTAGGATCCCTTCAAAAGCTCTCCACGGGGCATCCCTCTCTTTCTATGCAGGGCCAAATGGCGGAGCATGTATTAATCAAAAAATAATTATCTTAAGAATTAAAGTAAACGTCTATTAAATATCGTATTGGCGATTGTAATGAATGATAAATGGCTTTTTAAATTCATTTGCGTTGTCAAATAGATCTGAGCTGACAACTGTTTAAACTTTGATAGCTCTTATCGTAAGGAGCAATACCATAATGGAAACATCATTGCTGATTTCAACAAATGGAGAAAGTTTAGTGTTTAAAATTTTATTTCACCATATATCTTTATATTTCAGGTATTAATTTTATACGCAGCATAATATTTCATACTATAAAGCAGTGGTTCCCAAACCAAAGAACAAACAATACATATTCTTTGCCCAAACTGTACACCACGACGTCCTGGGTAGTTGCGGCTTTTTCACAGGGGTGCCGCGAAATACTGTAAAATTGAATTTCTTACACTTTATAATTAATTAAACCAAGGCATTTGGCCAACTAAACAAAAAACAAAGCCAGAAGGTAAAAATATCTAACTTTTTGTATGGTTTGCTTTTACTTGACCCTGTACAAAAGTAAAGTCGAATATTATTTATTTTTGAGTTCAAGCCCGAGTGTAGGCTTTGTTGTAAGCCCGAAGAAAGGGGCCGACTGTTCATCTTATTTTGAGTGAATAAAAGGTAATTAAGTAGTAGTTCAGTAGGTTCCTCGACATTTAATTTAGAAGAATAAAAGTGAAGAACTCTACATCTATTATTACAATAGCTATAATTATATAATAGTCATAATTTTAAAATGAGAAGGAAAGATTGCTTAACTTTTTCCAGAACAGGAATACCCCCAATAGAGTTCATTTCGTTAGAAAATGTATCAGTTTTTGGAGAAAAGAAACTTTTAACTTCTTACACTTTTTTCAAATTTATGCTTCCTTTTTTCAGGGCGTCCCATATTAAGTAATTTACATTAACATAGCACAAGTTAAAGCTTTATTGCTAGTAACACAACACACAGCAAAATTTTGTAGGAAAAAACATAGTAACTTTCGAAGACGTTAGATCTGATCTGTTACTTTTCACTTTCTCATGATCAAATTGCCCGGATCCCTCATAGTTTATTCCTAAGGGCTAACTGGATCTCCTGTAGTGATTCATGCAATTTAGAAAATGCCTCGATTCTATTCGTCGACACGCCTTTGTTTTAAATAGAAGAGAGCAAAGCGTATGTGCCTACGTTTTAAGTTATTTCTAGATGTTCAATTTTTTAAGTTATTTCTAGATGTTCACTGTTTTAAGTTATTTCCAGATGTTCACTTTTTCACAATTTCTAGATTTAAAACTGAATAACTACCATTATAATGAATAGGCCATGAATCTAAACTTTATGATGTAAATGAACCAGAAAAAGATTAACAATATTTTCGCATTCCCGTCCGAGAACAACGGTGATACCGTTTAATTTTAATATTGAAATTATTTTCCGTTATTTCTCTGTTTTGCATTATGATCAAAAAGTAAAATGCATTTGGTTTTGATAAACATATTAAAACTATAGTGTAAAACATCGATTTTTGAAAAATAAAGGCCCTTGCCAATAAAATTATTTCTCTTGGAAAGGGATATTGTTAATTCATGGTTTCGGCTTGTGATGACGATGTGTTTAATCTTATAATTACATCAAATTTTTATAATAATTAATTAGTATTTCGTATAAGCTTGCTACTGTTTGCCTAAATCAGCACGGAAAAGCATGCAAAGGTTATCTGTTCCCGTAGACATGACTAAGGAAGGGATGCCATCCGTTCCCTGGCTTGTATTGCGCTGGTTTGTATTTATCCTAAACATTAGGGAAAACATAAAAGCTCGTTCTCTGATGTTCTAACCTATATCGAACTAGCACTATTCAGCAATCTTATACATTTTGCCCACTAATGGGCTATGTACTTTTTTCATTCTATTAAATGGTCTTGTTTTATACTTCCTTTTAATCAGTAATTATCTGATTATTTGTCCCAAACATAGACGCACAAAAAATATAGTAATAAAAAAGTCTGAAAGCTTTCAGCTATTACAGTAGACGCTCGTTTTTACGAACTCGTAGGGACTACGAAAACAGTTCGTTAAATCGAGAGTTCGTAATTTAGAAAGGCATCGGAAATTGTTAGTGTTCACATTTTAATGTTTTCGAGACAGGTTAGTGATACTATTCCATGCTTTTATTTATGTATTAGGAATTATTTTTAATAATATTACTACTTAATAAATGATATCCATTCTATTAAACAAACAAGAAATATAAAATATTTGTAAAACGTATCTTTATTAAGTCATTGAGCAACAAAATAATCACTTATCTTTGTCTGTTTTAAAACAACAGATTGTACAATGCAAGACTCCATCTTCTCTATATTTGTTAGCATTTCACAATTATCATTGGCCTCAAAAAATCGTCTAAGTTTTGACAAGTATTCAGCAGCTTGTTTTAAAGTCGGTCTTGGTGTTACTTCATTTTCTTCTTCTTCTTCTGGATCTGAAAATCTCTCATTCTCATTGATTATGCTGCTAATAATATCGTGATCCGATATTTCCTCCGTGCAGATGACATTAGAATCCACATTTAAAAAATCCTCGAATGAAAGTTCTGGCAATTGTGGATTTCTACGAAGTTCATGCATGAGAACCTCATCTTCGTCGTGAGATCTATTGTCATGGATTTCTTCAGTTACGTCTGTTTCTTTAATAAAACCTGCATGTCGAAAGGCTTTAGAAATTGTTTCATCTAAAACATCATTCCATGCACTGATTGATAAATTCATTGCACCAAGAATATCAATCTGATAAGGTTGTTCCCTTTCCAAGCCAAGGATTACTCTTTGCAAGAGCACTGTCTTATATTTTCGCTTGAAACTATTGATTATCCCCTGATCCATTGGCTCTAAAACTGCAGCTGCATTTGGTGGGAGATATTCCACACGGATTGCCTGAAGCCCAGTGACTTCCATGTGTGCAGTACAATTGTCCACAATTAGGAGAACTTTGCGCTTCTCTGCTGAAAAACGGTTATCAAAATCTCTCAACCATTTTTCGTAGATGTTGCCAGTCATCCAGGCCTTATTATTAGTATAATATGCAGCAGGAATCTTCTGAACATTTTTGAAACACCTTGGTTTCAGATATTTTCCAATAAAGAGCAGAGGCAATTTTTGTGACCCAGTCATGTTGGCTGCAATCAAAACTGTAAGTCTCTCTTTAGCTTTATACCTCCAACACATTTATCTCCTTTGTAAGCTAATGTTCTTTCTGGCAAAATCTTAAAAAACAAAGCCGTTTCGTCCGCATTAAAAAACGTCATTTGCAGCGTATTCAGAAAGAAGCAATTTCAACTTTTCTTCTTTCCATTCATTTGCTGATGACGTGTCTACTGCTGCACTTTCACCACACACTTTCCGGAAACTCAAACCATTCCGAAATTTAAATTTCTGTAACCAATCATCCGATGCTTTAAAATCTTTGATGTTTAATTTGGAAGCAAAAAAAGTGTGCTTGTTCTTAAGTACATTTCCATCAATTGGAATGTTTAAGCTTCTCATCTTTCGAAACCAAACAAGCAAAGCCCTTTCCAAATTTGTGTGTTTTGATTCTCGAAAATATTTTCGAGAGGAGGGTCCACATTCATCGCTTCCGTTTTTAGCTCCAAAGATCTTCTCCCTTGCCTTTAAAATCGTCGATAAACTTTTTAGGAATTCCATATTTCTGAGCAATTTGTGTCTTGCTTAATATTTTTCGTCAACTTCTTTTAAAATCTTCTTCTTTATTTCAACCGCTAAACAAATTCGTTTCTTCATTTGCGAATAGCTCTAAGAATCTTACTTAACAAAAAACTGGCCCAATCTCCCTCTCGACTAACGATACTTCACTGATTGAGTTGTCCAGATCAAATGATTATGACATTACAAAAAGCAACAACTCTCTTTTAGAAGCAACCCAAACCCCTTTACACGAATGGTCTCACCCCCACCCAACAACATCAGGCCAATGCTCTTCTGAGAGCCTCCCACAACAAACAACACCATAAATTTGTCCTAATTCCCCCTCTTCTTCTCCGCCCCCTCCTTCCTTACTGTACTTCTTCGAATGTTTCGCACTTGCTGCCTCAAAATAGTTGGAGATTTTATTTGACCTTCACACTTCGTCCCAATGAAACACGCAGAAGTATGAAAACTGAGTTCGAGAAAAAGAGATTTTCCTGATTTGTAGTTCGTAAATAAGAGCGCAAAATTACATTACATCTATGGGAGTGTATTCGGGACCATTCGCTAGTTCGTCAAATCGAGAGTGTTCGTAAAAAAGAGGTTCGTAAAAACGAACGTCTACTGTATATTACCCAAAAGGGCTTTTTTTTTAATGTTTTGTGCGTTACCCGTATTTATTATCATGCTCTCAGAACTTAAACCATAAAATTCAGTTCAAAAGCAATATCGCAAAATAAATTAAAAAGGGCTTACCTTTAGAATTTCGGATACACAGTCTCGCGCGCTGGAGATGATTTTTTTCATGAAGTGTTGCCATTGCTCTCTTTGAAATCGTTGAGCTTGTTAATCAAAAATTCGTTTAAGTTTTACAAGATATGAAACAGATATTAAAACAAATTTCAAATTCTAAATTTGGGCTTTCAAATGCCCATATTCGAGTGGAGGACTATGTTATTCAAAATTTGATGTCTCTAGGTGCCACTGTTTTTCACAGTTCGAGGAACATACATACAGTCATACAGATTATTCACACACATTATTTAATTTCTTTAAATATAATGCTGAACTCTAATATTTGGTCTTAACAATTTGAAAAGTGAAACGCAATTTATAATGAACCAACGCAAAATGCCAAAACGAAATTAATAGCCCTTCTGGGCAATTTGCCCTTTTGGGCTAATAATAAAATAAAATAAAATACTTGGCAGCGAATGAACATTTCGTGTATTTAACAACTACCTTATTAAATCATTTTAAAAAGCTAAGTGACTAAGAAAATAAAGTTCATTGCAATGAAAACATCGAAGTTGACATGCTCTCTATATTACTCCAAAAAAAAAGTTTCATTTTTTTTGCTTTATTTATTGACTTATCGGAAATCAATGTAAAAAACAATCACTAAAAATTATTTTACTGTGTTTCTTTATTGGGCTGTATTTAGATAATAAGTAACAAATCTTAAATACCCCAAATTAATTTTCTCTTCTCTTTTCTTTCTTTTTTTAAAACTTATTTTCTTTTAACCATTATGTTTTTAGATGCTTGGTACGAAATGAAAGGTTTTTTTCTTCTTTAGTGAAATTAAGCTTGACAGCTAGAAGGAAAGTGAGACCGGATACGGAGGATTATTCTCAGCTGTAAAAGAACAAAAGCTTTACGACTTGAAAGTGTCACATAACCTTCAAAGTATCTTACTTTCGCTTGTTTCTGAGGAATGATGACTTTTCGTGATCTGACATCTAACTGGAAAATCGTAGACTTTCCGTTCATCCTTTGTTAATCACATGAATGTTTTGGGAAGCTGGAAAGAAACATTTTAAAACCTTAAGTCTTATATATTGAAAATTATTAAGCACTTTTTTAAACTATAGATAGTAGTGAAGCGGGAGGGTGCCCGGGCTGCCAGGGCATCCCTCCCCCTTGGCTACGCGCCTGAAATGTAAACAAACAAGATCATTCTTCCTCTTCTACTCTTGCGGAATGTCTTTCACCATGGAGTGGAATTTTGGAATGCAACTAGATGAGGCTACAGTTAATAATAAGATTTTGATATGATATTTATGGTTTATAGATGGCAATAATGTTAAAGAAGACCTTCTGTTTTGTAAAAATATCACTTCAGGAAGGAAGGCTCATAACCCGTTCAAGGTTCTTGATATACTCCTACCTCAAAATAATTTGAATTGGCCTAAATATGTAAATATGTGTTTGTACTGATGAAGTTTCATCCAAATCTGACTGCTATGGAGGATTACAAGCACCTATTCGAAACAAATTACCAACTGCACTGTGGAGCCATTACATTATTCATAGAGAAGCGCTTACACTCTCTATGAAATAAATTTATGCTTGACAAGCTCTTCAAATATTTTTTGAAACTCGCATAAATTTACTGACAAAGTATGATAACCATTAAACTGGAAAGTGGACTATTAAAATAATAAGCAGAAAATATAAAAAAATGCTAACGTAGCAAATCATAATTGCTAGGAGCGAAGTGCTTGGAACCCATACACATTCTTAATGAAACCGATTTTCTGATGCATGCTATTCTTCTCTTCGGATAGCAAGAAAATTAAATCCCATAGAAACTCTAAACTTACTCTTTAGATTCGTAAGTTTATGGGAACTTAATTCGAGATTTTGGGAATCTTTTAAAGTACATTGAGACACAAACCATTTGTTTAAGTAATACCAACTACAACTCAACTCTGTTTAAGTTTTTATGTTTTAAAAATAAGCTCTATCGTTTTTTGTAAGATTAACTGCTTCTACATTTTTGTAAATATCTGCAATTAAAGTGTTTCTCATGTTAAATCCACAATTATTTTCGAATCCTTTAAAATACTGGAGATCCGGGGAGCGTATTTCCAAACCCTACCCCACTTTTCGAATTTTTGACGTCATGGAAAAATCGACTAGTTTCGCCTGGATGGTAATTCTTGAGCATGCGCTGAAGGGCGTAAAGTAACATAAACAGAACTTTGGCTTGCGTTTGTAAACAGTATTAAGTATATTGTCTGAAAGTGCATTCGTTTATGTAATTGCATAATTTTACTGTTTCTGTAATAAGAAAACTTCATTCAGATAAAATTTATTTTAGTATTATTATCTGGTTATAGGATTATACGAAATGCTGAATACTGTAGGTACTATCGTAATCTTCGCATAACCTTTCACATTGGATTTTGCCTTATCATTGTAAAATGTAAAATATATTGTATTATAAAGATTAAATCAAAGCAAATTACTTTGTTAGAGATGTGAATGTTCTAACTGAATTTTCTTTTTATCACTTATTATTTATTTCCTCTTTGAAAACACATTCATATTTGACAAATAATTATCTCCGCTGAAAATTTTTTGATTGTTTAAAAACTATATTTGTCAATAATGTAATAAAAACTCACTAATCTAGTGCTTCATAGATCAATATGACAACGAATTCAAAATGTTTTAAAAACAGTTCTTTAATCTTTATTTTGTAGTAGATGCAACTAATGTCACAGAGAAAAAATATTTCAATAAAAAAAGTTCTCCATGTTAATTCAATAGCAAAATTATTTCTATTTCAGTGAGAAATCCACTTTCAATGCTTATATAACAGAAAAATGTAAGATAAGCATTTTAGAAGTTTTAAATATAAGCTAAAGTTTTACTGTACAATTTTATGTAAGAAACGTAATAATTTACTTTCATTCCTTTTAAATCGGCATATTAGTTTCCAATCAACTAAAATTTTTGGCAAGTTAGAGACTTAACACACAGTATTCCGTCACTTAAAATATCAATTAATTGTTCTTTTTCATTTAGAGATACATTGGAATTGAAAATACCAAAGGCAAAATGGGTCACAGATCCAACCTAATTCCTTATTTGGAAATTTTTCAAAAAATTTTCTGTCAATTTTATCATATGTTGTTTTAAACAAGAAATCTGTATTATTTTCTTTAGTAAATTTGAAAAAGCATGTTTCTGTTTTTTTTTTTTTTTTTTCGTTCAATTCTCCTTGCCAAAGTATTGGCTTAGTTTTAAAAGCTTACATTAGTACAAACTGCGACACAGTGTGTCTAGGTAAGATTATTTGTTTCAAAATGTCTGTTAATAATTTCAAATATTTTCTCTCCAGTTGCTTTTCCTTCCCAAATATTACAACATAAAAAATATTCTACTGCGTCGTTTTCAAAAACATATCTCACATAAACGATGAAATGAAACATTTTAGTAATGTCAGTAGTTTCATCAAGTTTTATAGTAAAGACTGGATTTTGTATTCTATAGTGTCTGATATGACAAAAATTTGGTGAGAAACAGTATCTTTTTTTAATGCTATTGTTTTTAAATCGTTACTATATTTTTCTGCGTGCATAAATGATGTCATTTTAATTGCTGAAGGAAGAATGAGCGATTCTCCAATTGTATGAGGTTTTAAATTTTTTGCAATTAAATATGAAACTTTTAAGGAT